TTTTTTTTTTAGTTTGGACTGTGTGTTGTTGGTCCCTGCCATTTTAAGTAGTGGCATGGAAATAAGAAAACTTGGCGTGGCTGCCATTGATATAGAAACATATATGTCTGTAATAATTATTATTTTTTCTTTTTCTTTTGCTTTTGCTTTTGCTTATGTAATAATAATTACATTTGGTGAAGGCAAAGATTTGAACTCGTATCATGCAGATTTAAGTCTATGATATTTATAAGACTTGTGAGTTATGAGCAAACAAGCCCATATACTCGTCCTCGTCCAGCAGGTGCGAGTTCGCTGATACTCTATGTTGATCTGTCGTTTCTCAATTGGGCTCAGTTCAGTTCGAGCACTGCACTATTAGGTTTAATTCGTGTATAAGAATAAAATGTTTTCAAATTCTTGCATGAGACTGTCTAATCATTAGATGAGTCGATCTCTTAATACATTCTATAAAAAAAAAATTGCATATTTATGCTATTGAAGTATTTTACTTTTAATTAGTTATTTGATAAAAAAATGTGTATTTAAGCTATTGAAGTATTTTACTTTTATTTAGTTATTTGAAACCAAAGGTTGAATGAAATCGATTCTTTTTTAATATTAAATTGATGTTATTATCAAAGTATAATATTTAAGCTTTAAAATATACACGTATGTTAGAAAAAATATATGATGGTAAATTTTACTCATAACAACTATTCAAACCACATATTACATTTAACGGTGGTCAACCATTTTTGCTTATATATTTTAATTATCAAACAGTTACATTTAATTTAATTATCGCATGAACTCTAATCACTATATATTTATCTTAGACAAAAAAATTTACTTTAAAAAAATTATATAATATATTTTAATTTTTATTTTTATGTTTTGACGAGATAAATTTCTTTTATTATTATTCTGTTGACCTTCTTTTGAATTAGTTGATAGTTGATTGTATCAGCAGACAACCAACGGATAGTAGATTGTATTAGTTGAGTTGACTAGCACATGTTAATTAGCAATTTGTCAACTAAGCATTTGATAAAATATATTCTTTTTTCAATCATATCTTTCCAAAACAATATTCTTTTGAGCTATTTTAGAATCAGCATTTTGTGTCCACAAAATAATCAAATAACCTTGTTATCAAATCAAATACATTAATTAACGAATTTAATCGGTCAAATCTTCAAAATTTGCACCAAGTAATTGAATTAAAATTAATTAATTAATTAATTAGGGGGCGAAAGTGGTGTGGTAGCTGGGATATGCATGTGCTGCAGCCTTTACTAACCCGGCAGCTCCTCCACCCACCACTGCCCTTAATTAACTGACGCAAAATTACTACACAAATTCCACACCCATTTAAAACTAGCTAACCTCAAATATCCACATCAATTAATACAAATATACATACATATAACATATATATGATTTCAATTTGCAAATGGCTGATGCAAATGGAGTCAACAAAGGAGCATGGACTGCCGACGAAGACCGGATACTAACACACTTTGTCGAAAAACACGGCCCGAGGAGGTGGAAATCTCTGGCTATCTTATCAGGTAATTTTTTTTTATTTAATTATTTCTCATAATGTATCGTATTTTGTACGTAACATCAGTTAATTAATTTTAATTAATTCAGGATTGAATAGGTGTGGAAAGAGTTGTAGGCTGAGATGGTTAAACTATCTTAGACCCGACATCAAGAGGGGCAACATTTCCGATGCCGAGGAGGACTTGATAATAAGGCTACATCGACTCCTCGGAAATCGGTACATTCATATATATATATATATATATGTGTACTCAATGCATAACTAAATTAACATTTTATTTTGATGAATATTAATAGAATTGAATTTACATTTATGACACATATATAAATATATATAGCGTCTAGACTACGCGTAATTTCAATTTAATTAATTTACATATATATAGGTGGTCCTTGATTGCGGGTCGACTTCCCGGGAGAACTGACAATGAGATAAAGAATTACTGGAACGCTCATCTGAGAAAGAAAGCCAAGTCGTTATCAATGGACAAACTATCTGTGACTAGTGCACTTGATCAAGAAATGTTGCAAAACAATCTTGATGATGATGATGATGATGATGGTGATGATGAGGAGTTTAGTAGTAGTCGGCTGGTAGAGCTGAGCTCGGATATTGGTGACGGCCAATCATTTGATTGTACGACGACAGGAGGATCCTACAGATTGGATTGGGTCAAAAGTTTTCTTGAACTCGAGGAAAATTAATGATCCTTAGATCATGCTCAATAATATTGTCTGAAGGTCGATGGTTTGTAATCAATTCATTGATGTAAAGGACATCATTTTGTCTAAAGAATGATTATAATATTCATGATATTTTACGCTCTACAATAAAATTGTGTATTAAGTACAAAGTTTATGGAAATTTATCATCGGTATGTCAATTTTTATGTGTAATATATGTACCACACACCATCACCATGTTTTAATTACCATCAGTTCGTAATAAGCTAAAGTACCAATTTAAGACTCCACACATATTTTTAAGAAAAAAAATAAAAACATCATAATATGAATAAATAAACAAAAATAGATGAAATATTCTAGTAAATGTTTGTACACCACATCACTTATTAAAATATAAAATCAATAAATAAGAAACATCTAAATGCAAACAAAAAATTAAGAAAGACGAGATGAAAAAATATCAATTTATGCCACAGTCGCGAACAGAAATAAAAACGAGATAAAATATATTGAAAAATTAATCTGTTTTCGATGGATTAATCTGTTTTTGATGGATCGCCATAAGTTGGATTGCCGTAAGTTTCAGTCGACCCCTCTTGTCTCAGTACCACAAAGGTATGGTGATCGTTTTAGATATACAGGCAAAGTATATCGATCGTGCTAAAAATACAAGCAAAAGTACAGTGATTCGAATATGCAAAGTTGTCATAAATTTTCCAATGAATTAGTGTAGCTTAATTTAGGTGGGATACACGAAGGCATAATTAACTTTGATCACCTATACATGTTATAGGATATAGATAATTTTTTCTATCTATACATGTTTATTAATTCCAAAAGTAAAATATTTCCGAAGTTGTTGCTGGAATTTGGCTCCGATCAGGCTTTCGTCTTCCTTTGCATTAGAAAGTATTGATCGACAAGTTGGTTTTTTCGTGGGATGATATCTTGCCAAATCATTCTTCGGAGCATTTTTGGCGCAGATCGACAAAACTTTTGTCGATTTCCCAACTTTTGTCGATCATGGGAAGAAATCATAGGGGATGTTCTTGTCAGGATCTATCCTTAGGGCCCTGACTGTTTAGAAAGTCGTCGTTACTGTAAAGTGAAAACTCCCACCTCTCAACATTCTTGTCGAGGGTGAGCTAATCGATCTGTATTCTTGTCGAAGGTGGACTAATATGAAGGCTGATAAGGAATTGTATATCTGAATTTTTTATGATGAGAGGAAGCAAAAAAGTAATATTTTGAAGTTTTGAAGACGCTTTTATTTCGGCAGAGTAACGGTATGAAAAGAGTTATGGGGTTCGATCGAGCCGTCCTTTCTCCTGATCGATCATGAAACAAGATAAAGAGGGTCGACCGGGTCGCCCTTCATTCCAGCAAGAAAAATCTTATGGCTCAGGGGAGCGATAGAGACTATTTTGGTTAAAAGAAAAAAAAAAAAAGAACCCTAATTGAGAATGACTTGGCTGTCATTTTGTTGACGGTGGACCGCCAACAATATCAGTTACATTTTAGTGGGCGGTTTAATAAGAGGGGTAATCGAACAATTAATATCATAAAACGATTATAACGGATTAATGATGGGGTAATAAAGACGATAAGGGGAAAACCAAAATGCAATCTGTAGATGAGATTGGCAGGGAGAGTTGAGTTCTCCGAAAAGTATATTGAAAGTATATGTTGTGTACGTGGTGTTTTTCATATGATTGTGTTGTTGTGAGAGTTGCCGTATTTATACACGAAAAAAGTAAGAGTACAATAAATGCATTATGCCAAATAGGGGCGTAGGGTGGCGACCCGTATATCCATGTAAATTTTTTACTTTTGATGATGAGATAAATTGAGCACTCGCTTTATCAGTATGCTTTAATGGTTCTACATTTACATAAGAGAGATCGCCATTTTTATAAGGCAAGATACAAGTTGGATAGACATTTTATATGGATTACTTGTAAGACGGAGAGATGAATGTGTCTTGTCACCAAGGCTTTCTGGGCTGTTCCCTCCTCCAATTTGCAAGCCCATACAAGACGACTTTTGTCAATATCCATTTGTCCGGGCTTAATGGGCCATTTTAGAGCCATTTGAATTTGGGAAATTTTCACCTATGCTATCCGTTTTTGAATTAATTGCTGCCTTACCACTAAAGCTAATTTAATTATGTTTACGCCTAAAATATAAAATATAATTATAAACCTACCTAAATAACTGTTACACGAGTTGTACCAGCTTCCCTTGTTTGTAGGGCATAATTTTAGGGTATCAAGATGGAATAATATCTCATTTGAATTTGAATTGAGATACGGACGGTACAAAAAGAAAGAGAACACGCCGGCGAGAAGAATTTTTCCGGAGACACCCGACCGACGTTCTTCATCCTTTGGAAAAAAAATAAAAAAGCTTGCGTTTTTTCATTTATTGTCTCCGAACAAAGATAAGCATTAAGAGCTTAAAAAAAAGAGTGGTGTGGATAAAATCCTGTGGCGATCACTCGACAACCGAACACCTATCAAGAACAAATACATACAGGCCAAAAGTTGGGGAGGTATATTTTGGGTTTCTTTTTTTTGTGTTATAAACTGTGCCCAGGAAAAAACAACCTGGCGTTTTTTTGATCATTTTGCTACTGAATTCATTCTATGTTTTTTTTTTTTTTTTTTTTTTTTTTATATAAATAA